GGGAGTACGGGAGGAATCCATCAACCATCGGGACCATCCTGAAGATGAGGGAGAAGATCCTTGCGACTGATGCAGCCAAGGGAGTCACCAGGATCGTGAAGAACCGCCCAGCTGTTCTGGAGGAGGTGGAGAAGTTGCTGCTCATCTGGTTAGAAGAGAAGCAGCGTGCAGGGGACACAGTGACTGAGGCCGTCATTTGTGAGAAGGCCAAGGCCTTGCACGCAGACCTCGTCCGGGAAGAGCCAGGAACCTCAGGCAAGCCAGAAGTCTTCAAGGCAAGCAGAGATTGGTTTGACCGGTTCAAGGCAAGATCTGGAATCCACAGCGTGGTCAGGCATGGAGAGGCTGCCAGTTCTGATGTTCCTGCAGCTGAAGACTTTGCAGCGGAGTTCCTGGAGGCTGTGAAGACGGAGGGCTACGTTCCACAGCAGGTCTTCAACTGCGACGAGACCGGGCTGTTTTGGAAGAGGATGCCCAAAAGGACTTTCATCACACAGGAGGAGGCCAAGTTGCCTGGCCACAAGCCCATGAAGGACCGTCTGACCCTGCTCTTCTGTGCCAACGCAAGCGGCGACCTGAAGATCAAGCCCCTGCTGGTGTACCACTTGGAGAACCCACGGGCCTTCAAGAAACACAAGGTCGACAAGGAGCAGCTGAGTGTCATGTGGTGATCCAACAGCAAGGCTTGGGTCACACGTGTGCTGTTTGTGGACTGGGTCAATCTTGCTTTTGGCCCTGCTGTCAAACAGTACCTGCTGGACAACGACCTGCCGCTGAAGGCTTTGCTTCTGATGGACAATGCTCCTGCTCATCCTAAAGGCCTTGAGGAGGACTTGTTGGAGGAGTTCAGCTTCATCAGCATCATGTTCCTGCCGCCTAACACCACGCCACTGCTCCAGCCGATGGATCAGCAGGTCATCGCCAATTTCAAAAAACTCTACACCAAGGAGCTTTTCAGGCGATGCTTCGAGGTGACTGATTGCACCAACATCACCCTGCGGGAATTCTGGAAGGACCACTTCGACATCGTCACCTGCTTGAAGATGATCACCACAGCCTGGAACGGGATCAGCCAGAGAAATTTGAATTGCGCTTGGCGCAGCCTGTGGCCGGACTGTGTGGCACCAAGTGACTCTGATGCACCAGAGTCAACAGTGGTGCAGGACATTGTTGCCTTGGGGAGGACCATGGGCCTGGAGGTCACAGAGGAGGACATCAGCGAGCTGGTGGAGGAGCACAACCACGAGCTGACCACCCAGGAACTGGTCGAACTGCAGGCAGAGGCTGCGCAGGAGCAGGCCTCGCTGGAAGAGGAGGAAGCAACTGAGGAACGGCTGTCCTCCAAAGAACTGAGGGACATTTGCATGAAGTGGAAGGATGTGCAGGCTTTTGCACAGCGGCACCACCCTAACAAGCACGTGGCACATGACCTTGCGAACACTTTTGATACTACGGTCATGTCGCCTTTCAGGGAGGTGCTGAAAAGGCGGATGAAGCAGCAGACCATGGACAGGTTCTTCAACAAGAAGCAAAGAGTGGAAGAGGAACCTTCTTCGAGTGGTCCCCCAGAGTCTTAGAAAATGTACTGTACACGTTGTTGATTTTTAAATGTTTTTCTGTCATGTTTAGAAACTTAATTTATTGTTCCTTCAGTTTTGAAATGCTCTTTACAGTATGTGTGACTTTAAAGAGCACTTAATAAACTCTTGTTGTACCAAATTTGGCTTTGTTTGGACTTTTTTTGACCATAGGAACACATTAATTGAATTTCAATGCATTCCTATGGGATTTTGTGCTTCGCAAGACGAAAAATTCGCTAGACGAAAAAACTCGTGGAACGAATTAATTTCGTCTTGCGAGGCACCACTGTATTGCTCTCCTGGCCTTTTTGCTGTTAGGAAAGTGATGGGGAAATGCATTAGAAAGTTCAGAATGGATGAATGATGAATGACAAGATATATAAACACCTTGCAAGAACATTATGATGAATGTGCATTGACATAGGACTTGCCCATGAAGTTAGACTGGAGGTTTAATGAAGTGCAGACATAGTCTAACTATGCATAAGCATTTTCACCAGCAAATCATGTTGAATGCTCAATAATCGGCACCTGGAGGAGTCACATATGAATGCTGCAGTGTTTTTCCATATTGCCATCAGCACTACTTTGCATTGCTGTTTGAGGTTGATTGTGGGTCGTCCTCCCCCCTCCCCCCCCGAGAGAGAGAGAGAGAGAGAGAGAGAGAGAGAGAGAATTCTGTGACACTCATATGAGTAATGGAAACCTGCTCTCTTCATTGCTCAGACTGAAAGATGCCTGTAGACGTTGATTCTACACTGCCAAGTTTCAGCAAACTCACTTTTCTATTTTTAGGAAACCTGTCTGAGACTCTGTGAAGCAGACTGATGCACAGTCCTTAGGTCATCTCTGGAATTATATGCTTTTCATCTGCTACCAAACAAGAATTGTATCCTGTGCCTCCAACAGAGTGAGTGAAGTTGCCTCTCCTGCAACTTTTTGATGGTCCAAGGACTGTTTCCTTTGTGAGAAATAGTTGAGGCTTGGAGGAGACAATGGCAGTGGTCCCAATTTATCATCCCCTTGAAAAACCTGGTTCTTGCCCACCTTACTGACAGTTCCCTTCATTTCACTAATAGTCTTGGGAAAGGAACTGATGGGAAGCATCTCTGTCCCCGCCCCCTTTCCTGTCCTTGAAATTGAGGGAGACAACCTGAAGAGATAAATCCCTAAGAATCCTCCCCATTGCTCCTGCCTTTCACTGACTCTGCAGAGTGAAGCCACAGGGGGTAAGCCCTCAACAGGTGGAGCATATGCACCTGCCCTTTCCAGCACTGGGGTGGCACTGGCAGAGCAGGGCCACCCCCCCCAATCCTTCTGATTCTGTGTGCAACATTGGACACTTCCTTCTATTATGTACATGGATTGGTTTCAGACACAGGACATTCCCAGATCTACCTGTTTAGGGAAGTTTTTAATGACTGATGTTTTCATGTTTTTAATGACTGATGTTTTCATGTATTTTAAATCTTTTGTTGGAAGCTGCCCAGAGTGGCTGGGGAAACTCAGCCAGATGGATGGGGTATAAATAATAAATTGTTGTTGCTAGATACCTGGAGATGCTGGGGATTGAATGAGACCTCTGCATGCAACACAGGTGCTCTACCCACTGAGCTAAGGCCCTTCCCCCACACCAGCAAGAAGAGCACGTGTGAGACTTGGAACAGTTGACCAGGTAGAGCAAGTAGAGGCTAGAAAGCCCCCTTAGGGGGGCCTCTGACTGCTGGAAGGATCGGCTGCTTCAGGGAGCCACTCAGCCAGGAGTCCCTTAAAAATGTATTCTTAAACTGAATGTCTCTCAATGGACGATGCAGAGGTGTGTGAGAGCCTCTGGTTTCTTTGTGGATGGGATGTTGCCTACTGTGCAAAGATATGAGTCATGTCAGTTGCTGACATACCATCTACTTGTATTTCCACCCTCTTTGCCTCTGACCTGCACCCACCATAGACATGTGGTGCCCATGATGGGATGTGGCTCTCAGATTAAAAAAGGATCCCCACCCAGATGTGATGGGCACAGGATTAGGCTAAGACCCAGGAAGGATCGTCTCTAACCTATATACACCGAGGCTGAGTCTCTAGTCAGTTGACTGTGGGAAGAAGAGAAGAAGAGTTTGGATTTGATATTCCGCTTTATCACTACCCGAAGGAGTCTCAAAGCGGCTCACAATCTCCTTTCCCTTCCTCCCCCACAACAAACACTCTGTGAGGTGAGTGGGGCTGAGAGACTTCAGAGAAGTGTGACTAGCCCAAGGTCACCCAGCAGCTGCATGTGGAGGAGCGGAGACGCGAACCCGGTTCCCCAGATTACGAGTCCACTGCTCTTAACCACTACACCACACTGGCTCCTGGGAATGGTGAAAGCAGACCCAACCCCTGTTCTCTTCCCTTGTTCTAGGCCTGGACCAAAAGGCACACCAAGTGTGACACAGCTTCTTTCAGTTTCATAGTTTCATGAATTTGACACATTATCATTTTATTTATTTATTGGATGTGTTTATAAACCCCTCTCATTAACTGAGAAAAAGGCTTCTGGAGTGGTTTACAATGCTCATTAATGAAATGGTCTCTGCCCTCAGGTTTTACAAGCTAAAAGTCATGGCACAAAAGGAAAAAGGACTTGGAGGGGGATGAGAAATAGACAACTCAGGCACTAAGGCTTAGTTACAAAGTCTTTACAAGTGCTCTTTCTGTCAGCGAGTGGGGAAGCAAGCTCCCTGGAGCTTTGGGTCCCCTTGCAGATGGCAGACTCTGTGTGCTCCTCTTCAAGTTCTCCATGTGATTTATTGTACCACAAGGGGCAATATTTGCACATTGTTTGTTGATCAGGTGCTGATGCAGTACATTTTCCCACAGATGACAATCAAACAAACAAACATCAATGGCCACATGCCAATTACTGTTGCCAGACTTACAAGTCAAGCTGGGAGCTTTTATTGCTTGTTTCCTCCCATGATGGAGCAGATAGCCTCTGGCAATTGCCCCTTGAGCCAAGAGTCCCTCCAAGCCTAGCTATCCACCTAGTTGCTGCCCCCAAATCCAGCTCAGGCACCTCTCCATGCACTCACCAAACCTGTGAAAGAAGGTACTGCCTGTACATTAAGAAACTGCTCCAAGCCCTTCCTGGTGCAAATTATTAGCAATGAGAAGCATGTACAGTACTGTATAATCGGGGCATCTGACAATTGCAGGCATGTCCTGCTATCATGTTAGAGAACAGAGGTCCTAGAATGGCAACATTCGGATAGATTCTGTTACTGACTTTGGGCACCATGGCTTCCTTTCAAAGCAGGGAGAGCAACCCGTTCTGAGTTCAGCCCTGGGCAGGGTCAACTGACAGGAGCTTTGAATGGGATTCTGCAGGGCACGCAATGCAGGATCAACAGCAGCTGAAGGTCTGCCTTTGAAGCCTCCTGTTCTTCAGGCACTCAAATGAAGTCTGATGACCAATAAGAGAGCTGATGGAGTGATCCCGCCGTCATATTTCTGAACTGCAAAGGAAAAAATTTAAAGGGTAAAGGAAGCACACTTTAGTGCTCTTTTAATGGCAGCTAAAAGACTTTGACATCAAAGGGAGTCCAAGGAAGTTGGCTAAATCTTTTCCATAATTATCACTGTTAATACATTATTATTTTTATTATTGTTGTTGTTGTTGTTGTTGTTATTATTATTATTATTATTATTATTATTATTATTATTTTGCTGTCCTTGCTACCTGGCTCTTTTGTCCTTGCTGTTTTGCTTTCATTGTTGTTTAATTGTTTTATTGCCTTTTTATGGGACTTGCCACTTTGGCCAGATATGGAGAAGAAAAACCAAGTAAATTTATTTATTTATTTTCCATATTTTATATCCCACCTTTTTCTCCCAGGAGCTCAAATTGGTGTTCATAGCTCCCCCCCCCCACTGAATCTTCACAACAACCCTGTGAGGTAGGTTAGGCTGAAAGGCAGCGACTGACTCCAAGGTCACCCAGTGAGCTTCCTTGCTGAGTGAGGATTTGAACCCTGGTGTTCCAGGTCCTGTCTGACACTCTAACCACTTAACCACATTTGTTAGTCTTCTGTTGGAGGGTTGGGCTCCCCTGCTGGATAATGGCCTGGTGTAAGATGTGTCTCAATAATAGTATTTCCCACCATATAAATATATGGTAATCATATTAAGAAATGCATGTTTGAATTAAAGGTGGTCCTGGCCTTGCAAAGGCAGGGGCTATTGAACCAAAGAAGCCAATGTCATTATTCCATAGGCCTGGTAGGGGGAGAGAGAGTCTGCTTTGGCTACAAAATTTTGAATGCTTGGCTGCTTGAGCATCTTGGGAAGCAACACTACAGAATGGAGGAAAGATAAATGCATTTAAAACAAAAAACAAAACAAAAACCTCTAGATATATTAGGCATCCATTCGTAAAACGCTTGATGCAAATGGAATGAGCGGTTCCTCCTGGTACCAAATTTTCATTAGCTTGAGATCAGACAGATGCAATCAAAGTTTTCTTATAATTCATCCTCTGGGAAAGCGGGCATTGCTCCAACTGCTGACGAAGCCAATTTTATCTTTTCCAAAAGTAGCACATTGGAGGGTAACTACTTACGGTCAGGACCTATGAGCATTGATATACTGAACTCTGCTGCTAGGTTTGTTTATGGCCTTGGCTGCCTTACTTCTGCAGTTGCTCCCTGATTCTATTCAAAGGGGTTTCTGTGAAAGGGACAGAGCTGAAATAGTATTCTAACACTTGACATATTTTATCAGAGAGAGTGAGAGAAAATTGTGGAGTTGGAAGTGATCCTGAGGGTCATCTAGTCCAACCCCCTGAAACTGAAATACTTTATTGCCACTGGTACAACTTGTATACAGTGAGATTACACGAGCACCCCCAACTCAGCTCTCTTAGTCTTAATTCCCCTCGTTTGCTGACGCACACCCACCAAACCCAAAAGTCAGTTGCCCTGTTGTTATCTTTTCATTCAGCAGCCTAACAGCCCACGGATAGAAGCTGTTTTTTACCCTGTTGGTGAGATTAATCATGCTTCTATATCTTCTGCCTGAGGGCAGGATATCAAGAAATTGCCAGCCAGGATGTGAATCATCCCTGAGAATTTTCTTCACTCTCCTGAGGCAACGTTCTTCCGCTATTTCATCCAGCGGATTTACGGGACAGCCCATAATACCTGCAATGCAGGACTATGCAGCTGTCTCATACGGGGATTGAACCTGCAACCTTGATGTTATCAGTGTGGGAACATTTATATAATTTAGCAGAGTTTAAACCATCCCCTGTTTGAGTTTATGCATCAACAGGCGGGTTGCTAACTTGTTTGAGTCCTATCAATAATTATACCTTCCTGGTTGATAATCCCTTTCAGTCCCTCTTAAAGAAAACACACATGAATCTGAATCATATAAACTACTTTACTATCAGATTCATTCAGGTTGTCAGCCTGAAGGCAGACTTAGGTTACATAACTGATAAACTATATACTAGATAGTAGTGAATCATGAGAAGACTACATCCAAGCAGTTACCAGTTAACACTCCTTGCAGCAACCGACCAACAGACAAACTGCCTGCCACATAGAGGCAGTTAGTCCTCTCGGAATGTTGGACTTGACTGACAGCTTTATATCCCACAAACCCCTTCTCAGGCAATACAACATTAATAAATTAAACAACTTTAATCTACTACACAAAGTCCGAGTTTTTCTTGTAAACTCTGGAAACTTTCCTTAGTCAGAGGCTGTATTAGAATGTCAGCAGTCATCTCTTTGGTGCTGCAATAACATAGTTCCACAAGTCCACTTTGAATCATGTCATGGATATAGTGGTGCTTCACCCCAATGTGTTTTGATCTTGCGTGGACCTTCTCATTCTGAGATAATTTCATGCAACTCTGATTATCTTCCAGCAGTTTGACAGGTACCTTGCTCACCAACCCAAAATCTTTAATGAGTTGATCCAACCAGGCAACCACTGTGCATGCTTCCGAAGCTGCAACATATTCTGCTTCTTTGGAAGATAATGCTACACATTTCTGCCTATAACTACCCCATGAAATAAGTCCATCCCCAAACATAAATACATACCTAGATGTGGATTTATAATCAACATTGTCACTACCCAATCTGCATCAGTATACCCAAACAAACTAGGATTACTGACAGATGGTAATCTTATAATACATAGTACCCTTTAGATACCTCACTACCCTTTTTATACCTGCCCAATCATACTCAGTGGGAGCATTTACTTTCCTATTAAGTATCCCCACTGCACTGGCAATATCAGGTCTACATGTGGTGACTAAATACAAAAGTTTACCAATAATTGATCTATATTCATTATTGTCTGGCAACAGCTTTGAGTTCTGCTGATTCTTTAAGAAATCAGTGGCCATGGGTGTAGCAACTGTGTTTGCATCTTGCATTTGCATGCATTCAATAAGTTATTGAATCTTTTGCCTTTGATTAAGAAGAAACATCTTCTTTGTTAAGATGTTTTACAATTTGTGCATAGTCTTTTTCATTTGATGTAGCAATAATCAAGTCATCTACAAATGCTAAGACGTATGAGAATTGTCCATTACTTGACTTACTATACAAACACTTATCAGCATGACCCTCCTTATAACCAAGCTGCGTCAGCATTCTATGCAATTTTTGGTTCCAGGCTCTAGCAGCCGGCTTGAGACCATAAAGACCTTTTTGCAGCTTGCAAACTAAATGTGCCTGATTTGGTTTTATAAAACCTTTAGGTTGACACATATAAATTTCTTCTGAAATTTGTCCGTGTAGAAAAGTTGTAGCAATGTCGATATGTTTCACTTGCAACTGCTTGGAGGCTGCGATACTTAGAAGCATCCTCACACTGCTGCATCTCACGGTTGGTGCAAAAACCTCATCATAATCTTCACCATATTGTTGTGAAAATCCTTGTGCTACAAGTCTGGCTTTGTGGTGTTGCACTTCTCCTTCTGCCCCCTTCTTAACCTTGAACACCCACTTACTGCCAATGGCCTTCTTACCGGGAGGTAGCTCAGTGAGAGTCCAGGATTTATTCTGATGCAGTGCATCCATCTCCTCCTGTGTGGCCTTCTTCCAGAGACTGGCTTGTGCATCTGGCATCTTCTCTATCTCTTCCCATGTGGAAGGTTCCTGTGGAAACGCCGACCCTGTGAAGTAGGACAGTCTTCTTGGTGGGACACCTTTGTTAGTTCTGGATGAGCGTCTGACCTCTGATACTGCAACCACATCAGCTTCCTCATCTTCCTCCAACACTGGCATGTCTCCATCCGAGTCCTCCTCTTTGTCTCTGATGCCACCAGGAATCTGGTCCTATGCAACTTCTACACTGGAAGACAGATCAGGACTTTGCTGGGGTATTGAAGGAAAATACACAAGATCTTTAATCTTTTCTGTGTCTTCAAATAAAATACTATTCTTAGTATCAGCTTTACTGTGTTCATCAAAATACCATATTTTTCGCCCTATAGGACGCACTTTTTCCCCTCCAAAAATGAAGGGGAAATGACAGCAGCAAGAATACTCATTGCAAAGTATTGGAAGACACAAGATCTACCCACTCTGGAAGAATGGCAGATGAAGGTGATTGACTACATGGAATTGGCAGAAATGACTGGCAGAATCCGAGACCAGGGAGAAGAGTCGGTGAAAGAAGACTGGAAGAAATTTAAAGACTATTTACAGAAATATTGTAAAATTAATGAATCTTAGAAGGATGTTGGATAGAAACTAAGTGGTTTCCAGCTGTAATGCTTTAAGAGATACGAAAAAAGGTTTACAAATGGGTAAAAGCTTAATGGTAAGGATTTGCTGAACTAACAAACCAAACTGGAATACAAAAAAGGGAGGTATGAGGAGGTCCGGGGAAATAAGGCTAGGGAAGGCATACTATGGAAAGCTAACGTGTTTTTAACTGTTTTTAACTTGTATGTTTTTCTTTATTTTTCTTTTTTTTGTTATATTTTAAAAATTTTATTATTTTTTCTGTACTTTGTATTTTCTTGTATTTTTATTTTTTGTTTTTGTATTCTTTGAAACTTTAATAAATATCATTAAAAACAAACAAAACAAAAATGAAGGGGAAATGTGTGTGCGTCCTATGGGGCGAATGCAGGCTTTCACTGAAGCCTGGAGAGCGAGGGGGGTCGGTGCGCACCAACCCCTCTCGCTCTCCAGGCTTCAGGAAGCTATCCGCATGCCGTGGGAGAGCTGCGCGAAGCCCGAGGCCTGGGGCGTGCTGAGCTCAGTGTGCCCCGAGCTTCTGGGTGCAGGCAAGCTCTCCGCTAGCCGTGGGACAGCTGCGCGACTTCACGCAGCTCTCCCACGGCTTGCGGTTAGCAGCCTGTTCTGGGGGCTGGGGTCGGGGGAAGCTCAGGCTTCCCCTGCCCCAGCCCCGCACCTGGGGGGAAATAATTTTTTTTTCTTTATTTCCCCCCCCAAAAAGCTAGGTGCGTCCTATGGGCCGGTGTGCCCTATGGGGCGAAAAATACGGTACACTGCATGGTATACATTTATCTTACCAGTGTGTAAGTCCATAATTCTGTATCCCTTGCCTCCAGAAGCGTACCCCACAAGGATACCTGTTTGCGCTCTGGAATCAAGCTTGTGTCTGTGTTCTTTAGTAAAGGTAAAGGTACCCCTGCCCGTACGGGCCAGTCGTGTCCAACTCTAGAGTTGTGCGCCCATCTCACTTAAGAGGCCGGGGGCCAGCGCTGTCCGGAGACACTTCCAGGTCACGTGGCCAGCATGACGAAGCTGCTCTGGCGAGCCAGCACCAGCGCAGCACACGGAAACGCCGTTTACCTTCCCGCTATAAAGCAGTACCTATTTATCTACTTGCACTTAGGGGTGCTTTCGAACTGCTAGGTGGGCAGGAGCTGGGACCGAAAGACGGGAGCTCACCCCGCCGTGGGGATTCGAACCGCCGACCATGCGATCGGCAAGCCCTAGGCACTGAGGTTTTACCCACAGCGCCACCCGCGCCCCCCTGTGTTCTTTAGGAACGTGATAATAACAGACTCCCAAATACACATATGTGTGACAGATTAGGAACGCTCCCATGCCAAAGTTCGAAAGGTGTGCACTTTGCTCCCTTTCTTGGCAATCTGTTCTGGAGATAAACTGCTGTATTCACTGCATCTGCCCACAGCTTGTGTGGTAGAGATGCATCCTTTAACATACATCTGGTCATTTCCATGATGGATCTAAATTTTCTCTCAGCTATAGAATTTTGTCGTGGTGTGTAAGAAATTGTGGTCACATGTTCAATTCCCTCCTTCTCCAGTATAGTCTGCATATCACGTGAGCAGTACTCTCCTCCATTGTCTGTCATCAGTATAGCTGGAGCTCTTTTGAACTTATTTTTAACCATCGCTAAATATTTTTGGAACATTTCCAGCGTGTCACTCTTTTCTTTGATGAAATACACTACACAGTATTTTGAAAAATCATCAAGAAAAATTAGTATGTACCTGTTCCCACCCAGTAAGGGAACATTCATTGGTCCACATAAGTCACTGTAGACTATATCAAGTACTTTACTGCTTCTCTGCTCTGTGCATCTTGGAAATGAAGATTTTACAGCTTTCTCAGTTATACAACTTATGCATTTCGTTGGAATTGTTTTGCTAGCTGTTACCTGTACTTTGCTTCAGGATGAGAACAGAAATCATGCAGCGGCAGCAGGAGGCCCCATTAGCTAAAGTGGTACCTCAGGTTAAGAACAGTTTCCTGTTAAGAACGGACCTCCAGAACAAATTAAGTTCTTAACCCGAGGTACCACTGTAATCTCTTGCAAGTTTACTTTTCTGGAGATCTAGAATGGTGCTGGTGTCTCTGTATCCAAGCTGCAGGTCCGCCTCATCCTTCTGGCTTGAATGTGCCACCTTTGCAGATTCATTCTCTGAACTACCAGCCTCATACACACCATTTATTAGTTTAGCTTGAACAAACAGTTTGCCATTCTTTGTTACTTTGCAATGTTGATTTCCAAACGTTATCTGGAAACCCTTTTTGTCCAAACTGGACACACTAATCAGATTGCATCTGAGCTGTGCAACATACAGGACTCTTTCTACTGTGGTATGTAAAATTTGATTTTCTGCATTAAATTTCAAATTCACAGAACCAGCCCCTCTCGTTTTGACAATATTTCCATCTGCGATTTCAATTTCTGATCCTACTGCTTCATTAATTTCATTAAAACAGTCTTTTCTAAAAGAGTAATGTGAACTTGCTCCACTGTCTAGGATCCACCTATTACTATTATTTTTACAATTCCTGACAGTTAAATTCTTTTCTTGTAGTAGCCAACAGCATTCAGATTTCCCCTTCTTTTCGTCTTTTGGCTTAAAAGGGAATGGTTTATCTGTTTTGAGTAATCTACAATTCTTAGCGATATGACCTTGCTTTTTACAATTAAAAAAACCTACACTTTTCTGTGTGTCTTTGGGCCTTGCAAACTGTCTAGACGCATCATTGCTGTCTTTACTCTTAATATTTCTTTCTGGAGACTAAGCGCTCCCTCTGCATTCCTGTCTTAAATAAGCAGTCAGGTCTCTTAATGTTAGACCTTTGTGGTCCCTTATACTCACAAATGCATCAAATCTTGGTCCTAGGGATGATAACAGAAATGATGTTTTCATTTCCTCATCAAATGGTTTGGGGGTAATCTGAAACTTTTGAATAATTTCTGTAAATTGGTTGATATGGTTTGTGAATTCATCTTTAGAATTCATTCTCAGTCTGGTTAACTCACGTATTAACATACGGGCTCTTCATCGTGTCTCCAAACATGCGCTCAATATCATTTAAAATTTGAGATGCAGTTTCTTCAGAATTTATCATTGAGAGGTGTTCATCGCGAAGTCCATTCAAAATGATTAATCTGGCTTTCCTATTCTTTTCTTCCCAAACTCTTGTAAATCACCCTCATCCGTGCTTGTAGGTCAGGGGCTTTTATAGCATCGAGGACACCTTTCACATCTAGAAGTGCTATTAAGCATTGCTTCCAGTGCACAAAATTATGTTCATTTAGAACAGGCAAGCCTCGTCCTAGATCACTTTTCAAAAACTCCACTAGACATCTCAAAAATATAATCTTCACTGCCTTTTGTTGTTGTTGTTTAGTCGTTTAGTCGTGTCCGACTCTTCGTGACCCCCTGGACCAGAGCACGCCAGGCCCTCCTGTCTTTCACTGCCTCCCGCAGTTTGGTCAAACTCATGCTGGTAGCTTCGAGAACACTGTCCAACCATCTCGTCCTCTGTCGTCCCCTTCTCCTTGTGCCCTCCATCTTTCCCAACATCAGGGTCTTTTCCAGGGAGATCACTGCCTTAGGTTACTGTAACCTCTGAGGGAAGGGAGGGCTTACTTAATCCCCACTAGATAACCGGGGGGGGGGGGAATTACACAACTCTGGGCCAGTAAAAACTCATAAACTATATACTAGATAGTAATGAATCATGAGAAGACTGCATCCGAGCAGTTACCAGTTAACACTCCTTGCAGCAACCGACCAACAGACAAACTGCCTGCCACATAGAGGCAGTTAGTCCTCTTGGAATGTTGGACTTGACTGACAGCTTTATATCCCACAATCAGCACCATGCTCTAACCAACTAGAACAATCCCAAAGGGCTGTAAGAAGATCCTATGTTCTGCACGCAGGAGGTGCCAGCCTTGCCCAATCCCTGGCATCTCCAGGTCAAGGCTGAGAGGAGAGTTCCCTGCCTGAAACCCTGGAGAGCCGCATGCAGTCAATATTGCAGACAACGCTGAGTTAGACGGACTCATGGAAGGACTGATTCGTGGAAGGAAACTTTCTGTGTTTCATTTCCAATCACCAAAACAAGCAATTTGCTAGACTAACAGCCTGATCCTATGCTTAATTACTGGAAAGTAATTTATGTATTATTTGATTATTGCATTTATATCCCACCCTTTCCTCCAAGCTCAAGGTGGCATCCATGGTTCTCACCCACCACATTTTATCCTCACAACCACCCTGTGAGGTTTAGCCGGACGGGCAGTGCCTGGCCCAAGGTCACCCAGTGCGATTCAGAGGTTCCCTCCCCTCCTGTGCTTACTTATTCTCTCATTATTTCCTCCCTGGTCTCTCCCCCCACCCATCCTCTGACTTTTATTCCCTTTGCTATCTCCATTTGAATTTGGAGTCTGACATCCTCCCATGGTGACACTCCCCCCCCGTTCTTGCATTCCCTGTTCCAAACACACTGTCGTTTTGCTCTCCCAACACACCAAATATTCCATTTGATTCCTCATTTTAAAATTTTTATCTAGACATTCGTCAGACTTGTTTCTACCAAAAATTATTGAGCTGAGAGTATTAGTTCTGAAATTTGTAACCTAAGCAGATTTGCTACTGAAGACCCTTGTTCATCAGTTCTATATTTAAAAATCTCATCTAGGCATTCCCTAAGTTTTACTTTTTCTTAATTCTGTCAGCTCTTACTGCTTCTACCTATGAGTCTAAGGTTTAGCATTTTGGGTTGTTTTTACTCTTGTTTTTAAATGCTTTGTTTCTGTAAGTCGCTTTGAGGTTACCTTTCTGAAGAAGTGACTAATAATAAATATGAATAATAACAAAAACTTTCAAGTAACGGGATGGGAGCGGCTTTTTTCTGAGCACTGCCCTGGACTCTTCCCTGTAAAACACACAGAATCAAGTATTTCCCTTCCAACAGGAAAAAATGCACTTTGACACGACTGGGGTTTTTATTTCTGCCCACTTTCTCAAAGCTGAGAACTCAGTAAGGATTGGCTTCTCTTCTTATCCTCCATCTTTACAGGTGGCATTTTTTGTATGCTAGGTGTGTAACTGAGTCATCAGAAAGCACAAGCAGAAGCAGGAGCAATGTCACCTTGCCTTGGACAGCAGCTATATAGCCAGAGGGCTTAAAAGTACAGTGTCTAAGAAGGGGAGCTGGTGACTCAGGAAAGTTATCTCCCTCTCCCTATAAGATGCTGGAGATCTGCAGCCAAAGATCTAGCTATTTCAAAATGATATGTGAATTTTGGCCTTCCTCAGGGGAATCTTGGAAGATGACTTAGGCTGTCAGAAGAATGGTCCACCTTGCTCAGAATTGTGAGGGGGCAACATCTGGCCAGGGAGCCCAGCGGGACCTAAATTAGCACAATGTTGTCGTCCCTCCCCTCCCCCCCGCCTTATGCCTGAGGCGATATATGAAGTCAGGCTATGGAGCAAGTAAAGCTGCACCTCCTTGATGAAAGAAGGGTTTGCAGAGTACCTGGAAACCACATTGGCAAAGGACGTGGGGTTTGCAAATACCACCCAGTGGCTGATCAGTGTAGTTAGGCTCTCAGCAGAATGTGCCTAGTTCTACAGTTCTACAGTTTATGACTGTTTCATAATTTATGACAATTTAGAATTTAAATGTATTTTCATGTAATATTTGATACTTCCAGCTGATGAAGGTGAATACATCGAAACAGGGCCCTGTCCTGATTTCCAATCCATAACTTGACTTCTGCTCTATGATTGAAACTGAGTCTCCATCTGCAAGCTGATAAATTATAAGGATCAACATTATTGTCGAGTGAAAAAGAGAAAATCTTTGTAACGAATTATTGTGTTATACATATCTCTTTGAGTTTGAAATCTCTGTTAGAGTTTGTAATCTCTATTATAATACATACTTTTGAATAATTAGTTTTTGTTACTATTGACTATTGAATTGTGAGTAGGGACCACTCCCACTATTGAAACCTACATTGGCCTCAGTTCTTGGTGTGCTTTTTTTCTCAGCAGAATGTTGAGTTCTACAGTTCAGGAGGCTGCTTTACTAAGGAGGAGGTCTGGACATGCTCAGAATGCAAGAATAATTCTAACTGGCTTGCAAAACTGCCAGGGCTTCAGAGTCAAAAGCCCACACAATTTGGGAGTGGGTTGGCTGGATTACCTATAAGGATGCAAATGGATATATATAGATCTAAGCAAGTGTCTGGGGCTGCCCTAGCAATTGCTATATGAATATGGTTTTCTGCCTGGAGATGTTTGGGTTTGGGTGGGAATAGTTTGGGACTGGGATTGGCAGAAGTGGATGTAGCAGTTCAAGTGGAAGGTCAGGGAGTATGCAGGTAACAGGAAATCATCTCGTTTTCTTTTTTATTTTCGGGAAAACTTTTAACCCCTCTCCCATTTAAGCTCCATGCCCAGGTGACCAGCCTCCCATTGGCAGCAAGTGTATTGTAGCCATGCCCGTTTCCCACATTTTTGTGGGGAAGTTGTGACACTGAACATTTTTTTTTTAGGGAAGGAGAAGGACCGTAGCTCCATGTAGGCAAAGACTTCACTGGCTGCTGGAGGAAGCAACCAAATAATGCTTGATTTTTTAAAAAACCCAACAGTTACCTAGTTGTATCTCCAACCCAGATGTTGGAGGTACTGAAGTCTACATGGCAGCGTTTTCCAAACTGCATCGCAGGAACCTTTGGAGCAGCTCATGGAGACCAGCGATGGTGGGGAGCTTGTTGGCCACCACTGCAGATCTTCTCTGGCAAGGACAGGGGTGGGTTATCTTCTTCTTTTTATAGTATTCTTCACTGGTTTACACACTTTTATAGATTATAACCAACCATTTCAAACATTAAAATAAAAGGTTCTTTTGAACCTTCGGACCTTCTTTCTGCATTTTAAGCTGTATTTTAATTAACTGTTTGTTTGTTGTTGTTTTCTTCCTGTTACAATTACTTTAATTCATATTTGGTGTTAGCCGCCCTGAGCCTGGCCCGAATATAAATAAAAAATTATTATTATTATTATTATTATTATTATTATTATTATTATTCATGGGTTCCATATTTAAGATTATTTTTTTTGCATCTTTTACCATTATCCATCTGTTATATATCCAGTTACCATACTTAATTCCACATTACAAGTGTCATTACATCGCTGCCAATGATTTTAACTGTTTACAGTGGTCTTTTAAATAAATTAAGAATTTACTCCAGTCTTTTAAAAAATACTTGATCTTCCTGGTTTCAGATCTTCCCCGTCACTTTCACCATCTCCATGAGTTTCGTCTGCCATTCTTCTTTTGTTGGTACTTCTTCTTCCTTCCATCTCTGGGCTGGTAGCATTCTCGCTGCCATCGTTGCATACATAAAAAGTATTTTATCCTCTCTTGGTATCTCTTTTTATACCTAACAAAAAGGTTTCTGGTTTTTTAACAAAAGTATTTTTAAACATTTTATTTAATTCATTATATATCATTTCCCAGAAAGCCTTTACCAGTGTACATGTCCACCACATATGGTAAAAAGTACCCTCCTTCACGTTGCATTGACAACACAGCTTTGAACCCGTTTTGTACATTTTTGCAATTTTACGCCGTGTTAGATACCAACAATACATCATTTTCATATAGTTTTCTTTTAATGAACAGCATGCAGTAAATTTTATTTCCTTTCCATAACTTTTCCCAAGATGAAAGATATTATACCCAAATTCTCTAGCCCAATGTATCATCACTACCTTGACTTCTTCATCTTTTGTATACCATTCCAAAAGTAGTTTGTACATTTTTGACAGCACTTTCACATTATTCGCAGATCTATTTCAAATCTCGATCTCACTGTATCAAAACTTTTTTTTGTCTACCTTAAAAAAATTGTTTAGTGATACTGTAACCAATCCATTAATAATTCTCTTATATCTTCAATTTTTCTCCATTTTAGTTGGTCTTCTGCCTCTATTAACAAATCTTTATAGGTGGCCCAATCCCCTCTCATATTTAATATTTTAACTGAAATTGCTTCCTGTGGAGAGCGCCATCAAGGTGTTCTCCGTTGTAGTAAGTTTTTGTATCTATCCCATACCTCATAGATTGATTTTCTCCAGGAATCCTTTATGTGCTTTTGTTTTATCATACCATAAATATGCGTGCCACCCAAACCTGTTATCATGACCTTCCAAATCTAACAGATCTGTATTTTTTAACAAAATCCATTCCTACAATATAACTTCAAATCTGGCAAGAAGCAGCCCCCCTTTCTTTAGAAAATTAGTAACTTATATTTTATTCTTGGTTTCTTCCCCTGCCAGATCAAGTTGGATATTTTTTTCTGCCATTCTCTGGTGTGTCCCATCCCACTTATCAGGGGTGTAGGTTGAAATAAAAATAGCATCCTTGGTAGCACATTCATTTTTAGAGCAGATATTCTTCCCCAAAATGATAGTTTCATCCTTCCCCACACTTCCAGATCTCTCTTAACTTCTTTCAGGTATGTAATTATCCTTAAATATATTTATGTTTTCAGCAGTTAACCATACCCCGAATGATTTAATCTTTCTTTCTACATTTATTTCTGTGATCTGTTGGAACAGGTGTGGCTTATCTTCCAGGGACCCGCTCCTTTCTCAGCGGAGGACCACGGCCAGCCCTCCTCGGCTAAACGCTGCAGGCTTTAGGAAGCTGCCTTAGACCAAGGCGGGCCATCCGGACACGGACTGGCAGCGTCTCTCCAGAACTTCGGGCAGGAGACTCTGCCCCGGCGCCCGAGCCAAGGCGCCCCGAAATGCCCAGTTCCCCCGGGGGGGGGCTTACTCTCGAGTAGGCGCGGCTGAGCCGGAGGGGGCGGGGCGTCCTCGTCTCTCTCCGGCCCCTCCTCGCGCTGCAGCACCTGCCCGGCCGGCGCGGAGGCTGAGCGGCGCCTGGCGGGGAAGGAGGCGCTAGCGGCGGAGGCGGCGCCAGCCAGAGCGGAGCCCGGACCGGCCATGCCGCCCGCCGAGGGGCTCCGGCCGCGGCCGAGCGCGCGCTGAGGGGCCGGGCGGCCATGGGCGAGGGCGGCGGGCGGCGGCGGGGGCGGGGGCGGCGAGGGCGGCGCTGCGCTCCGGGCCGGCGTGGCGGCGGGCTGGGCTGAGCCGCCCTGGGGAGATGCCTGGGGCCGGGCCGAGCAGCGCCGCCGCCGCCGCCCCGCCGAGGAGGATGCCGCCCTTGGCGCGGGGTCCGCGCTCGCCGAGCCTCTCCCGCCTGCGCGAGTACCGCACCCGCTCGCGGATCATGCTGGCCCTCGGCGTCGCCCAGATGGCCCTCGGCTGCCTCATCGTGGCCGTCAGCTTCGCCGCCCTGGCGCTCACCACCTCGGCCCGCGTCCGCCACTCCTGCCCCTTCTGGGCCGGCTTCTCGGTAAGGCGCTCTCCGCCCGCCGCCGCCGGCAGCAGGCCTTTCTCTCTCCGCGGGGGGGAGGCGGGAGGCGGCGGGCCCGGAAAGTTCCTTGGCCCCTCGGGGTTTCCCCGGCTGGTCGCCTTCGGGTCCTGCGGCGCGCTTCCCGCCGAGGAGAGCCGCCAGGTTCGGGAGCAGTCTATCTCTGACAAGGGACCCGGGAGGGAGGCTGATCCGTCTCCCAGCCCGGCTTTGCCCGAGGAGGCACGGGAAGCTCCTGCGTTCAGGCGCAGTATATCGGTGACCATCAGGAGGGCATTGGCCACGTCCCGGTTCTGGGCTCCTCGGTGGCATCTAGTTGATCCCTGTGGGAAGCAGGTTGTTTCACTGGGTTGATCTTTAGTCTAAGACAGAAAGCGTTCCTTAGGTGACACTGCTCAGGGCAGTTTTCTCATCCCTTTTCAACCCCTGTCCTAAAACACACCCACACACACCCACACACACACACACACCCCTTCAGATCTGGCTCTCCTAATGATTTTGTCGAATTTCCAAATGGATTGGGATTTTGTGGTGTTTATTTTTTAATTTTAGATTGCACTTTTTTATTTTAAAAATTCCCCTCACATGCCCTCTGAGATCTTCCTATCCTACCCCCTGTGAGGGTGGGGTGTGCCTTCTTGTTGAGAAACGCACTCCTAAGGGATGCCGGCTAGAGACCTCTGGGTTCCACTAGGTGCTTCTGCTGCTGCCACCTTCTGAAGAAAGGTTCAGTGTAACTGGATTCAAAATGTATTCTCTGAACTTGGTTTTGCACCCACTTCGTACTGCATCCTGGGCAAGGGCACTGGGATAATTCGGTAGCAGCAATATTACACCTCTCCTCAGAAGTTCATTTAATTTGACAAAGACCTTGCATTTACAGAATTCATAGCATAAAAAAATAGACGTTAACCTTGCTGAAATGAATCATTGTTTTATTTTCATGCATTGGACTGAGGTGTTACCTTCTCTTTGTTCTGTTTTCTTGGAGTATCATTTATTTAAGAACTAGGAGCAGGTAAGAGTCAGCAGGGTAAAATCCTTGCTAGCCTGCAGATAAAAAGATTGTGAGCTCCCACTTGAAGGTCCTGTCCTGAGAGAAGGAAGTGCCCATCTGTGCATCCCAGTTCAGCTGAAAGGACTTTCGAAGCACCTTTAATAGATGGGCTTAAGTCCAAAGGACTTAATTTAACTAAATGGGGCTGTTACACTGGAGGAGGAGCTCCAGATTTGACCAGTGTCAGGGGACAAAGCCCTTATAAGGGGATTGTATTTTGTGAGTGGTCACTGTGCTTATTTTACATACAGAGCAGTTTTACATGAATTGCTTGTATTTTTGCATTTCATTGCTGTCTAACTCCCATCTTTTACAATTCTTCTATACCCCTGTATGTATTTTTATTTATTTATTATTGCATTAAAATCCCACCTTCTTTTGCCCAAGGAGCTCAAGGTGGCATACATGGGTCTCTTCCTCCTCCTCATTTAATCCCCACAACAACCTTGTGAGGTAAGTCAGGCTGAGAGGCAGGTCTGGCTCAGTGTCACCCTGTGAGCTTCATGACCAAGTGGTAATTTGAACCCTGGTCTCCCATATCCTAGTCTGCCACTCTAACCACTACACTACACCACACTGGCTGGCTGCCTGTCCACGTAAAGCTTATGCCATCGTAACTGTTAGCCTGCAATCCAAATGGCAGGTACCTGAGAGTGAGCCCCATTGACTCAAACAGGACTTACTTCTAAGTAGACATGGTTAGGACTATTAATTTTTTTAAATTTATTTTTTTAATGTGAATTTGTTGCAGGAAGAAATTTGTTGCAGAAAGGTACCACAAGGGTCTTTGTCATTTTTGCTGCAAAGCAGGTCAAACAGTTACACCACTAGAGAGAATTCCTCATTTATCCACCTTCCCTTTTTCAGATTGCTCATGTTAGCATCCTGGAGATTTTGTTTTCTTTTAAACAAAAAGTTTGAATTACCAGTTTCAAGTAGGAAGTGTCTATAGGACGGGATTCCTACAGTACTGGCAAAAGGAGGGAATGTGTTGCTTCACTTCTGTGGATAGACTGAAGTAGTTTGAAGAGGTTTGCAGAATAAACTGCCCAGAGTGAATGGATTGTCCTCTGAGCCTAAGCATGACTTGAGTTGCAATTTCTACTGCTGAGGATCATATTTTTTATTAATCTGTTAAGAAATTGCCCAAGAGAAGCAGATATTCACTACTGCTTTGCTTTCGTGCAGCCAGTGTGGTGTAGTGGTTAAGAGTG